TGGACTCCACCCCCTACTCCAGACACTGAAACTACAACTCCCAGCAACACCAAAGGGAGGAAAGCAAGGACCCAAGGGCAGAGTTAAGCAGCTATTTTGAGACTTTGGGCTATATGCAGACATGTTGGGCTGAGGCTCTCTCTCCCCTGGCCTTGTGGCTGGCAGCTGGTCGCTTGGCTCTTGATCAGTTTTCAGTGTACATTGGGGTTCCAAGTCAAGGGAACAGGTAGGAAGCACTAGTGAACTCGTATTGTTCTCTCTCTCTTTTTCCCTCCATTGTTCCTTTTCTTTTTCCATTGTAAATAAACCCATTATTGACCTTTTGTGTGTGTGTGCAGTACAGTTTAATCTCAAGCACATGGGGGAGGACCCACAGACATGCAACCCAGCTCACTTTGGGTTGCCCTGCAACACAGGGACTTGTGAACTAAAAAAGATGAATTTTGTCCTGAACCTTCTATGATGCAGTGAAACGGGACAGGTCTCTCTTCCTGCCCCATCAGATAAGCATTCTCATCTACTCATTTAACAAATTTGCCTTCTTGCATTCTAGGAAAGGAAAGGAAGGACATGCCTAAGAGGAAAATAAGGAAGCTAAACATCTAAGGATGTTAAACATCCGGTGTTAACAAAGCAAGATGGCACTCTCCCTAAATCTGCATGTGCCTGCCTCAAAAGGACATGCGACCCTTGTCTATCTCCACCCCCCCTTTTTTTTTTTACTACTGTGTGTAAGTCCCCCTGCCCTCTGCCAACGAGCTGGACCGTCGTCCTTCAGACACCAGTCTGCTGCCCTCTTCAGTGTGTTGACAAATTAAACTACTTTCTTTCTCCCAGCCTCTGCTTCCTTGTATTAGCTGAGGGAAACTGAGGCTGGTGCTCAGTGACAATTTACCGAGTCTGGAAAGGACCAGGTACTTGCAGTTAACAGGGAGATGATGCTCTGGCAACCTGCAGTCCTCCAGACAGACGCTGTGCAGATCCCCAACCTGGTTAGTCCCCACGGTGCTCCCTGGGGTTTCTGACTCTGGCTCCCATTTTGCCTGTGAGCTCCTCCATTTACGTTACCTCCTCAGGTCCCCTCAGAAGTTGGTGTGGATAGATTTGCTCTTCCTGGGCTCTGCAGCCTTTGAAGGCATATTGGAGTTTGTTTTCATCGTGAAGTATCATTGTCTTCTTGGTTAGTTTGGGTTTTTTCCCCAAGGAATGAGCACACATTTGTCGTTTCACTGACAATGTAGCACAATTCTCTTGATAACTAAGCAGGCTTCTGATGTCTGCCCACTCAATCTCCATATGCCAGCACCTACAGCCTGTGTCCTTCTGGAACTACTTCTCAAGTTATTTCTCTCTTTCTCTACTTCTTCACGCCCTGCTCCTTCCCCCTCTCCCTCCATGCTCCCTGCTCCTTAATAAGTCTTAAGAGGGCGAGGCTACAACTTCAATCTAATTTTTCCCGAGGTTGCTAAATCCAGGAGTTTTGTTTTTCCAGATTTTTATTATTGAAATCTTATTCATTTTCCCCTTTAAATACCTTCTCTTAATGTTTAGGACATAGAAACAATGGCTTCCCCAACAATGTATTTCTTCATTTTGTGAAGGTTATTTCTTTCATTTCTTCTGTAAGCCCAGAGATTCTCTCCTGAGCTATTTCTTGTAATTCCTTTAAAAAAAATGTAGGCTTTCCCTGGTGGCACAATGGGTTAGGACACGGCACTGCAAGCTGGCTGTAGCACTTCAGTGTAAGTTTGATCCCAGGCCCCTGAGGTGATCCGCATGGTTTGGCAAACCACCCCCTGACCCGCCCGCTGCTCCCCTCAGCAGTGTACTTCTCGATCTGCCTGTTTAGCTCCACTCTGTCTCTGATGAATCCCCTCACTGCCCCTGCACCTCTGGCTTATATCCCAGTTCTGTATGCATAAATAATTATATCTTTTTAAAAAATGCAGAGTAGAGCAACCAATACATTGGTTGGGGTGTTGAGGGAAACCCAGAGGTTCTTAATTTCTATGCAATAAAGGCTTTATCCCTGCAGGAGTAAGAAACTTTATTGTAGGTGATAGTGGCGGAGTTCAGGTATTGGGTAGGGTGAGTAGAGTTCTTGGTAGCCTCTAATTAATTATCTCAGCATGATTCCTCATTCAGCAGTAAGGAGCAAGTTGATAAAGGAAAAGATGGAAGGGGAAATCTAGACCCAGGCACTAGAAGCTGTATTTTAAGCTGTATTTTAGGGCAGGTTTGTTAAGGAAGGAGAAGAGGGGGAAAGGAGGTCATTTGCGTAAATATAAAAAGGACCTTTACATTGGCACAGAGGAGCCATTCTTTTCCTTTTTTTTCTTTAAAGATTTAATTATTTATTCATACAGAACTGGGGTACAGGCCAGAGATGCGGAGGGTGAGAGGATTCACCAGAGACAGAGCAGGGAGCAGAGCAGGCATATCGATGAAGTACACTGCTGAGGGGAGCAGCGGGCGGGTCAGGAGATGTCTGCCACGCCATGTGGTCACCTTCGGGGCAGGCGGGGATCAAACTTATGTGGAATTGGCTTAAGCTTCTTAGTGCTGTGCTTTAACCTGCTGTGCCACCAGGGAGGGCCAGAGGAGCCATTCTTAAAGGACAGATGCAGCCTTGAAGGGAGCCCATTGCTATAAGAAAGAGATGCCAGTATAGACAGGGGACAGTCTTTGGGCAAGGTTTTTTACTTCTACAGTATACTTAAGTGCAATTTCTTATTGATTTTGGTGGAATTTCTTACTCTGATGTTAAATTGGTTTGCTGAAAAGTTGATTAATTTTTATCTACCCCTATCTCAGTTCCTGGTTGTGCCTGTGCAGATATTCCATAGTCGGTTAAATGGAAATAGAAGTCACCCCTACTTGGGCATCCCTGGTGTTCCCCGGTGGTGCACTAAGAACCTAGATACTACAACCTGAAAAATGACATCAATCCACTCTCTGATTTCTCAATGCAAGTGATGTTTGTATTATTTTGGATTGACAGTTGACTAAAAGAGAAACAACTAACCCAGGTTAGTGTTGCAATAGATTGAGGGAGGACTTTGGGTGGGACATGGGGTGGTGAGAAGAGCCTTGTCTTGGAGAAGGAGCTGGTGTTTGAGCAAGTGGCTGAGCTGATGTCAGGCCTGTAGCAGTGGGGCTGGCTGAGTCCTCCCCAACCTACCTGATTCTCCTTGACCTGCAGGTGAGCCCAGGCTGGAGCAAGCCCAGGGGCCATCAAACACTCATTCTTCTGTTCTAGAACGTGAGCCATGAGCCCTACCTTTTGAAAGTAACTTCCCCCTGCTTTAAACAGCAGCTTTATCTACTCCTTTAAAAAAGCCACCAAAGGCCCTCCCCAGTGGCGCAGCGGGTTAAAGCACAGCACTAAGAAGCTTAAGCCAATTCCACATGAGTTTGATCCCCGCCTGCCCTGGAGGTGATCCACATTGCGTGGCAGACCTCTCCTGACCCGCCCACTGCTCCCTTCAGCAGTGTACTTTGTCGATTGGCCTGTTCTGCTCCCCACTCTGTTCCTGGTGAATCCTCTCACCCTCTGCATCTCTGGCCTGTACCCCAGTTGTGCATGAATAAATAAATAAATCTTTTAAAAAAAAAAAAAGCCACCAAAGTCGGGTTTATAAAACACACACACACATATATATATATATAATGTGAAAATTTGAAAGTAATGCACATAAAAACATTTGATACCCCCCTGAATGAAAATAACATAATAACATTCTGGTTTCATAGGGACATCGCCACCTCAAAATTAAAAATATGTGTTTGCATTGGCTTGCAAGAACCTTCTCAGTATCACACAAGGTAGTGAGGAGAGGAGCCTTCTGCAGGTTTTAAGGGACTGAAGTGACTTGATATGTGCAAGCGTTGGGGGACTGCCTTGCAACACTAGTGAGTTCCAGGGCAAGTTAGGGGTAATCAGGCAGCTTCAGGGGCAGCACAGGCAGGGACTTAGAGAGAGTGAAAGAAGGCTCCAGAGATGAGGGCTGCAAATTTGAAATGGGACGAATCAACACCCTGGGAATAGGGCAACTGGACCTTCCAGGACAATGATGGTAAAGAAAAGGATGCTGTCCCTCCCTGGTGGAGCAATGGGCGAGGACGCAGCATTACAGGATGAGGACGCAGCACTACAAGCCAGCTGAAGTCACTTCAGTGCGAGTTCAATCCCAAGACCCAGAGATGACCCACACAGCTCAGCAGAATTCTCCTGTCTTGCACGCTGCTCTGCTCAGCCATGTACTTTATTGATCTGCCTGTCCTGCTCCCCACTCTGTCTCTGGTGAATCCTCTCACCTCCCTGCACCTCTGGCATGTACCCCAGTTCTGTATGCACAAATAAATAAATCTTTAAAGATGAGAAAAGTATGCTAAGATAATCTCTGGGCACAGAAAGATTTGACAGTGAGTGAGACCACCAAGAACTAATCAATCACAGAGAAACTGGTGGAGCTTTAGAATAATGAGGAAAAGAAGGTCTCTATTCCCCAAGACATGACTCCCCTTCAGCTCCCATGTGCCTCAATGGGTTGGTTCTTCCGGCCTGACAGTCCCACTTTATTCCCAGTGGCTGGAGTCAGCAATGCCTCTGCAGCATGGGATTGGCTCCTGCCTGGGAGACTAGGCCTGAAGTTATGGCATCACTAACACTGGCGTTCAAAGCCCAGTGCTTCCATGGAACAGTAAATTAAACTATTTAGCAACTTCCAAGAAAGATAGAAAGCTTAAGAAAAATGACACATTATTACACAAAAATCATATTCCTTAAAATTATAATAAAAATAAACACTGAACACATCTTGAATAAGATGGGGAATATAAAATAGCTATTTTTTTCTTTTAAAATGATTTATTTTTCTTTATTCATGCACACAAGAACAGGGTATAGGCCAGAGCTACATGGGGAGGGAGAGAGGATTTACCAGAAACAGAGAGGGGAACAGAACAGGCAGATCTATGAAACACGATGCTGAGAAAAGAGTGGGCGAGATAGGAGAGGTCAGCTGCTCTAACATGATAGTTCTGAGACTAAACCCCAGCGCCGCCACCAGGGAGATCCGAAATTAATTGTCAGGTCCGGACTTGACTTCAGTGCAGGTGAGCGGTCAAGGCTTCAGATTTTGAGCTTTCATGTCCAGGAGCTTCATGGAATCCAGGACCCATTTAAGACTGGGGTCAGCACAGATCTCCCTGCCCCGTTTGGTTTTGAATCTGCAGGGAGGAGAGGACACAGTTAGAGGGATCACCTGGATGTTCAACCAGGGAGCGTCACACACTGAAGGGACAATGTCCCCCAAGAACACGGGGCAATCGGGCTGCCTCACAGGGAGGAGAGAAGGCCCCTCAGGGGAAACAGCTATTGACTGACAACAGTGAAGCCTCCTTGGCTCCTGGACGGCACTGAAACAGAACCAGGAGCTGGGTGGAATGCTGGGAGTGAGCTGGGAGTGACCTTCTTGACTTCAGTTTCCCACTGGGAGATTTCTGGGATTAGGTTAGGGGTGGCCTAAACATCTGGTCTCTGAGACCAACTTGGCCTGATCAAAATGGAATCCCCTGCCGGGGGAAGGACTCAGGAGCATGGAGGAGGAATGGTCATTGTCCACTTACATCACAGCTTCCTTGGGACACTGGCTACTGGTGATTCTGTAGGTGTCCAGGATCTTCATAGATATCTTCCTTTTGATGTAGCTAAAACAGCAGGCGTATGTATTTGCTTGATCTGTAATGAAACAACAGAAAAGGCTCTTTCAAGTGTGTGCAGGGTGTCTCTATTTATGCCATAGTGAAGTGTGTGTAAACAGGAGGAGTCAGAGGGAAGGGAGACAGCCCACCCCAAGTCCAGTCTGCCTCCTCTGTGGCTCTCCATGGTCAAATGGGAAGGCTCCCTGATAATGGAGATGGAGAGAGGAACTTTTGATAGTTAGACTTAGAGTGTGGTTATGAGGGGGCTATAAAATAACTTAATATTCCATTAGGACAAGGGGGAGGACTCAGCAATGAACCCCCTTTGGTCTCTGAGCTATCTAGCTTGGCCATAAGTTCCCATGACACCTGCTGCCTCTGAAGAACCACGTCTCTGGAAGCCGTTCTCAATGAGCACTTTCCAGATTCTGGGTCTCTTTCCTGCCCTTTCACCATTGCAGGAAATATCCCTCACTCCTACCACTACAGGCTCCCTCTCTTGGATCACCCCAGTTCCCAAACTCTGCTGAAAGGGGCCAAGCCAGACTCTGCTGTGAGGGTGCCCTTGAAGAGTTGGAGCCCTGGAAGGAGCCAGATCTGGAGTGCACAGTCAACACTCTTGTCCAGCTGCCCAGCAACAGCTGTGTGAGCAGGCTGACACGCTGCCCTGGGCTTGACCCTAATCAGTGGTCAAAGTCAGACTGGGCACGCCTTCTTCTCTGGTTGCCAGTGCCAACCCAGGAATGGGGTGATGAGTTTCAAAGGATGTGTCGAAGGACTTACCTGGCTGTATCTGGGTGCTGAGGGTGACATCTATGAGCAGCAGGAACAAGAGGGCTGCAGAGAACTTCATGCTGGAGGGTGAGGATTCAGCTGCAGACTTGGAGTTACTGATTTCTCAGCTTGTCTCAGCCTCTGTGCAACTCTGGTGACTCTGCCTGCCTTTTATAGAGATCTGACACAAGGGCAGGTTCATCTCCAGGCCAATGAAGAGCCTGAAAGTGCTGAGTCAGCATCAGATCCTGGAGTGATTTCCAAACAAAGAGAAGAAAGCAGCACTACTTTTATTGTCTTGGGGTTGGGTGGAGGATACCTTCTACTTTTGGAAACAGGACTCATACAGGTTGTGAGGGGTAAAGGGATTGATGAAGGAAACATGTTTGAGCAGAGACTACAGTCACATAGTAAGTTTTCATAATTTTGGCAGTCACTACTTCCAGGAATTTCAAAAGAAATGTGGCCAAGGATGCTGGAAAGGGAATCAGATAGAAGACAATGGAATACTCATAATGTCTTTCTCAGATGAACTGAAGACTCTATGTGGAGCAAAGATACAGTGTGGTGATTTTCCAGGAATGCCTGTGCTGTGGACAAGGACCTACAGGGAATGCCAGATAGAGGGAAGAGTACCCATGTATCATGGGCCTGAGGTGTTGAGTGTTCGGTGCCTCAGAGGAGCGTGGCCCATCACGCCCACATTACAGCCAGGCAGTGTTAAGGGGTGTGTGTGGTCAGTCTGTTATTTTCATTTTACAGGGTATGAGTCCCCTTATAGGAATGAAGTTCTGTGCTCCCTACCTGCTCCCTAAGGAATAAAAACCAAATGCATCTGGGCATGTAGACACCCAAGTTGGGTTTATAACTAAGACTCAGGCTTCCAGTGAGACTGTGCAATAAGAGAGAGAATTGATTAGAACTTGTGAATGCATTGTCTTCCCTCTCTTCTGTCTCAACTAGAAACCTGAAGCCCAAGGACAGAAATGAAACCCTCCAGCTGCCAGGGGAGTAGAGGCCAGTGTGTCCCCGTATGGGGACCCTGACCTGCCCATGAGCCTCCTGTGTATATAGTATTCCTCATGCTGTGGGTCTGGGCTCTCACTTTCACAAAAGACAACCAGCTGGGATTTGCTACCAGCCTTTCCCAAAGTGCTTGGAACTTCTTGGAAGAAATTTTGTCTAAAAATCGTTTACATACAGAGTTCAGTATTGCAGCTGACAGGCAGGAAATACTCAGTGATGTTGACTGCTTGGGCTGAATTTGTTCTCTGTGCCAGAGACCACAGTGCTCATGCATGTTATCTAAATTCAACCCCCTGATCAACATCTGAGATAGCGTCTTTATGACATTCATAAAAACATCATCATAAAGATAAAGGAACTGAGACTTACAGAAGCTAAGTGCCTTCCTTCAGCAGAAGGAAGCTTGCAAAAGTAGAGTTGTCTTTCTGCCAACATTACCTAGTAACTGGTAAACACATCCACGCTGACCTTTGTTTTGTCTGTTATTTTGCAGAATCCTGCCCACTTTACCAATGAGGGGAGTGATTAGCTTAAGGATACACAGGAATCCAGAGCAAACCAGAATTGAAGCTAGTCTAGGAGGGAGAACAGGGTCTCCTAATCCTGTCCCTGCTCTGACATTGCTCTAGAACATTCTAAGAGTCTACTTACTGAGGCCTGGCCTTGTCTGCCTGGACCTGCATGGTGCCCCTCCTGGTGTCACTGCATTTTTAATTAGAAGCCACAGGTCTAAGTGAAGAATGCAGCTGATGGCTGGGCACACCAAAGCCCAGTGAGAAAAGGTGGATTTGCAAGGGTTGCAAGTTAGCTGCAGAGCCAAGACAGGGCCCAGACACTCAGCCCCAGGCCTGCACCCTGTAGCAGATGCTGGGATGCTCTGTGTAGAGCCACAGGCACCACCAGACCAACGTGGTCATCCCTCAGCCTCAGCAGGTGGTGGCCAGCAGGTCTCCATTGAGGTTCTGTCTGAGAATTGCCCTTGACTGTAGGGAGCTGCCATCAGGAGACAGTTCTCAATGGATGCTTGGTAGTTGGGCACATTCATTTCTAACATGGAGCAATTCTAAAGGGTATCCCAGCTCCAGAGCACCCTATTATTTAGTCTGGGAATGTGGTGAGCTCCTCTTCTAAAGAAATAAACTAATGATTACATTTCTTGCCCCCAACCATTAAAAAGAGGCCTGAGCCTGGTGCCTCTCTGTACTGAGAAGGCTGCTCTGAATACACAGAACTGCTGCCAGTTGTGACTGGATGGGCAGAGGCAGGTTTTCTGCAGGGCCAGGTGTGAGACTAATGATCCTGCAGACAGACCACACCACCAGAGAAAATGCCCAGGAAAAGCCCATCATGCCCTATGATGCCTGTCACTCAGTCAAGGAGTCATACCAAGGACCAAGCCCACTCATCTAAAGAGGAGGACTTACAGTTTTTTTGAAAGAGAAATTCCCTGTGTCTTACTGGGCCTTGCAGAGACAAAGAGCCCAGCTCTGGGAAGTCAGGTGTGTCCACAGCCAGAAGTGCCCTTTGTGAGCTGGGCTTAGTGAAAGTGCCAGGGTAGCTGCCTGTAATCCAGTGAGATTGAAGCACTGTGTTGTGACTGGGCATAAGTGAGTCCTGGAGTTACAGTAAGTCATGAGGGCAGCTGTCAGCCCTATATCAGTCACACAGCAGCGCCTCTCCCTGAGAAATAGTGTAGCCTCAAATGAGGAAGGAAGACAAATGAGGAAGATGTTTTAAGTTAGCATCTGTATACAAGCCCCAGAACGAGAGAACTGTAAAGATACAAACAGAAGTGAGGGAGTCTGTTCCCAGTGTTCCTGGTCAGCCACAAAGAGCGGTGGCCTGAGGGTAAATTGTGTGGATTCATAGACTGTGGTGAAGGGCTGGGTGGTCACTCAGGAAGGAGAAAGGTAGACATTGGGGGAACGGTCTGGAAGTGTGTGGCAAGTGAAAATCTCTGCTCATCAGAAATTGGAAAACATGAGAGGTGCCAACTGACCAACCAAAGAGAAAGACACAGCCATTCGACTCAGCCAGCTCTGACATTGGCCACCAAGTTTTTTCTTTATCACAATGCTTTTTTCTTGTTTCCCCTTGTTTTATTACACTAGTGGGGACTATTTTCATTCCACTAACCTTCTTGATAGTTTCCTGAGAAAAAGAGGCTGAACACATTCCTGGAGGTGTTTTCAGAACATCCTTTGGACAGCACAAAGGTGGCCCATGGTGGGTCTGAGGTGTGTGGCCCAGACCCATCCGATGGGCTCATTCCCTCCCAGGACTGAGCTGCCTTCCTCAGCTGACAGTTGGCTGCCAATTGCTCTCCGCTGGTTTGCTTGTGTGGCACTGCCCCTTACCGAGAAGCAAGCCTCGCCCCAGGAACAGCTTTCTCCCATGACTGGTTGAGATGGGAGGATAAAAGCCTGGATTCCTTGCCCCCATCTCTGTCAGCTCCTGTCTGCTGTGAGACGGTGAATACTGAACTCTTGGTTAACCTGCCTGGCCTCAGTGGGCCAAGATATTTACCCTGTGTTCTGGGAGCAAGAATCTGGTGGGGTCATCTGTTTGTTTCCTTAGTTCCTTCCCTAAAATATCCTCATTTTGTAGATGAAATAATCAAGTCCCAAAGTAATACAGTGAGAGAAAACTCTTTTGGGAATAAAATGGAAATCACCTGCAGGTCAGTTTTCTTCCTAGTGTCTCATGCCACCATTTATGCCCCAGCCCCTGTGTGCAGTATCCACAGAGCATTTGGTGTAAGTGGTGGCCTTTGATGGGATGCCACACAGTGACCTACTGAATGTGGCAGGTGGCACATGCAGAGGGCTCTTGGCGCTCCAGCTTCAGACCATAGGGGTTTTGCCATTGGGCCCTTTGGTCCTCTCCTGACCTTGGGGGTATAGTTGGTTTGTGTCCAGACAGGGAGGGTCACATGACTGGCAGAAATGCAAGTCGTTTTCACTTGTTTCAGGGGAAACCTGACTTAAGTTTCTTGTACAGGAAGTCACCCTTCCATTGTGGCTTTGTGGAGTTGGGGAAATTTCTGTGTTACTCGTTCCACTTCTTCATCTACATGTCACCCTACTATTCTTCTCCCAGTTGCCTCTTCCTCTCCCCATCACCAGTGCCCTGGTTCTGACACATCATCTCATTGCCTGCATAGTGAAATAGTGTGCTGACTGTTCCTCCCCTCCTGATCCATCCCACAGCCCCCTGAAGCATCTCTGATCATGGTCTTCCCCTTCCCACTGACTCAAATCTCAGCAGCCATTATCACTGGGTGACCAGTGCTCTGGTTTGCCCGGGGCTGTGTTCATGTCTATCTGTTGTCCCAGCATAATTATCAATGGGTCTTCCTTAGAGCTTCACAAGTGACTTAAAGTGATAAAAATTACATGATCCTCTTATCATTTATCTGAATGGCCCACAAGCTCCCCCACTTCTGTCTGGCCACCCCCATCCTTCCCAATTTCCCTATTACTTTCACAGACCTAACACTAGCACCATCCCCATGGGCTTAATTGTGATGGGCACATTAGGATCCTTCCAGGCATTTGCCTAAGCTGTACCTCTTTCTTTCCTTCCTTCCTTGGCTGAAGTAGCTCTAAAGAGCGCCTGTATTTATCCATGCATCAAAGCCTCATTACATGCCTATAAAGCCTCAGTCTAAATAATCTCTTGCCAAAGGCCATCCAGCCTTCCTCTGGCTTCCCAGTGACTGCATTGTCTGTGTGCTGTGTATGGGAGGACAACCAGAGGTCAGGCACCATCTGTGATTGTAGTTCTTAAGAGAGATTTGGGGCGAGAGTGAGTTTGTCAAGAAAAGAAATGTGGTGTGGCTTAGAGTCAGGAAACCTGTTCTCTGGGTTGGAGTCAGAAAGCCCTGGTTCTTGAAGCTCTCTGAAGTTCAGTTGAGCCAAGGGCATTTCTCAGTAGCACAGTTCCCATTCCATAACCACACCTCTCTCCCCTACTCCCGTATTTCTCCCTTTTGGCTCAGTATAGATTCTCCACTAAAACCGCAACTGTTGACTACCACACATATATTTATTGTTTACACAACACAAACTTCCATTTAACATTATGAGTCAGACCATGGTTCACAAGAGCTACATCTTATTAAAAATAAATAAGTAGAGGGCCCTCCCTGGTGGCGCAGCGGGTTAAAGCACAGCACTGAGAATCCAGAGCCGCTTCCGCATGAGTTCGATTCCCGCCTGCCCCGGAGGTGACCACATGGCGTGGCAGACCTCTCCTGACCCGCCCGCTGCTCCCCCTCAGCAGTGTACTTCCTCCATCTGCCTGTTCTGTTCCCCGCTCTGTCTCTGGTGAAGCCTCTCCCCGCCCCTGAGCCTCTGGCCTGTACCCCAGTTCTGTGTGCACAATAAATAAATCTTAAAAAATAAATAAATAAATAAATAAATAAATAAGTAGAAAAAACAAAACAAACAACAACAACAAAAAAAAAACAAAAAACAAAAACAAACAAACAAACAAAAAAAACAGGGACTCCCCAGTGCCACAGGAGTTACAGTCTCAACACTATCAAGCTATCACCCACCACAGCATGAGGTCAATCCCTGGCAGGGAGCTGACCCACATGGTGAGGCACACTGCTCCTGACCCTCCTGCTGCTCCCCTTTGTATATTTCAGTGAATCCGCCTGTTCTGCTCCCCACTCTGTCTTTGTGAATCCACTCATCCCCTGCACCTCTGGCCTATACCTCAGCTCTTATATGTATGAATAAATCTTTGAAAAACTTAAAAACATCTTCCCATTTTCCAGAATCCTTAAGGATGCCATGGGGTTGGGATGAAAAGGTGAAGTCTCACTTGCTACTTTTACAGGATGAAAGTGGGACTCCTAGAGGTGAAATAACCTGGCCAAAGCTGTATATTTTATATTTTATTTTTCTCAATTTTCATTTAGTCATCTTCATCTTCATGTTGCTATGTAACATTGTGTGTAAATTTAAGGTATATAACGTGTTATTTGGATATAGTTCCAAATTGTAGTATAATTGTTTTTGTCACTGCATTTATCATTTTACACAGTATGCTATATAATAATACTTATTGTAATATCCAAAAAAAGTCAAAATGTAAAAAAGAGTAAAATGGTGGTTGCCAGAGAGGTTGTTCTTTAAGAAAACAAATTAGCAGAGTAGTAAATAGTGATATTTACACAGTCTAATGAGTAAAGTTTTATGTTTTAAAAACAATGATATTCATGGCAGATAAGCATAAAATGCCATTCATTTAAGTGCCAGGTCTAAAGACATTTTGAAGTTATTGTTTAACAATTGAATAAAAGCTACTCGTTTTGAAATGATGATGAGATTATCTTGGAAAACATCTCAGGAAGACCAAGAAAAATGACAAGCGTTTCTCAGACTCTAAGAATAGCTGGAGCTTGGGATTTCTGGCTTAGATGCTTCATGGCGTCCTGGACCCACTTCTCCTTGGGGTCTGCACAGATATCCTTAGCCAATTTGGTCCTGAAGCTGTGAGAGAAAGGAGAAACAGTCAGAAAGTCCTCTTGAGAACTGTTTCCATGTTGGGCCTTCCCTGGTGGTGCAGCGGGTGGGGGTGGCACTGCAAAGCTAAGCCAAGCCATGGCTGCCTCAGTGCCAGTTCCATCCCTGCCTGCCCCAGAGGTGACGCACATGGCGCGGCAGACTTCTCCCGATTCACGTGCTTCTCCCCTCAGCAGGGTACTTTGTTGATCTGCCTGTTCTGCTCCCCACTCTGTTTCAGGTGAACGCTTTTACTGCCCTTAAACCTCTGGCCTGTTTCCCACTTCTGTATGCATAAATAAGTAAAATCTTTAAGAAAGAAAGAAAATTATTTCCCTGTAACCCGAAACCTTCTGGGACCATCTGCTATGGACAGAAGAGTTTCCCATGGAAAAGAAAGTAGGGCAAGAGGAAACCTGGGACTCAAGGGAGATAATGGTCTTGATGGCCCAGTGAAACTCTTTACTCTTGACTGGAAACAACCGGTATAACATAAACAAACCTACAGACAGGGATCGGGAATGAAAGTTCCCTGTTATGAAAAATTTATGAATTAGATTGTCGAAGCCAGTGTCTCTGAGTCTATGATTCCATGTAATAGTGATGTATTCATGATATCTGCCCCTTGAGATGAATTTTTGGATCAGGAGTATGTGAGTTTTGCTACTTACATAATTGCTTGCCGAGGACACTTGCTGCCAGTGATTCTTTTGTAGCTCTGCAGTCGCTGAAAGGCGATCTTCTTTTTAGTTAGATCAAAGCAGCACACGGTTGGCACAGAAGCTAAATTTGGGGAAAAAAGAATAGACAGGATTAGTTGCTAATGATGTTGATATTTAAAGCATGGGTTTGTAAGGAAGGAAGGATATATAGGAGAAAAGGAGATGTAAGCTATGGAGGTAGAAGCTCTCTACTCTGAGATCTTGAGCTTCTGGCTTTGATCTGAGGTCCTCTGCTTTGCAGTGGGGACCCATCACTGCTGGCAAGAGTAAGGGAAAGTCTGGTCAACGCAGTAAGCTTTAGCTCTGTCATTGTGGGGAGTTTCATGGCATGCACTCTTCACAGTACTGTTCACAGATGTTCTTCTTCCTTAGCCATTTGGACGCTTTTATCGCTGGCCCCTTTTAGATGGACCCATTAAGTAGTTTTGACCAATAAGTGAGAAGACAATTGATAAGTGACATTTCTGAGTGAGAGTTTATACTTGCCAGTGCAAGCCCTTCAAGAGCTTCCTTTCCCTTTGTTATGATGAGCAACAGTGTTCCCCAAGACTGCTCCCCCCATCAATCTAAAACTTGTGCATAACGAGCAGAAGCTCTAGACAACACATTTCATAACATTTAATATGAGTGAGAAAGTAACCCTCATTGTTTTAAGCCATTGATAGTTTAAGAGTATGTGTTACCGGGGCCCTCCCTGGTGGCGCAGTGGGTTAAAGCACTGCACTGAGAAGCTAAAGCCACTTCCGCATGAGTTCGATTCCCGCCTGCCCCGGAGGTGACCACATGGTGTGGCAGACCTCTCCTGACCCACCCGCTGCTCCCCTCAGCAGTGTGCTTCGTCGATCTGCCTGTTCTGCTCCCCACTCTGTCTCTGGTGAAGCCTCTCACCGCCCCTGAGCCTCTAGCCTGTACCCCGGTTCTGTATATACAAATAAATAAATCTTTAAAAAAAAAAAAGAGTATGTGTTACCAAAGCATGCATTATCTTATTAGGACTGAAACATGCAATAAATTCAAATATTCAGAGGATAGGAAAAATGAGTCATAATACAAACACCTAGATAATTTATCCCAAGAATTCTCAAAACAGTCAGCTTGAGATATGGCATTAGGCCAACATTCCTTTCCCCTACCCACTGTTTCTGAAACCTGTCTTAAAGTACAATAACAATTCCAAGTCTCCAATAGAGTATTAATTTTTTCTCCCCACCACTACACAAAATGCTTACAGTAAGAAAAGGTGTTTTCTTATGTGGCTCATCCCCTAACACTGTGAGGGCAGCTAAGTCACAGAGCCACTCAGTACTCATCTCAGGCGGGAACCCAGGGATGGGCCCAGGCAACCTGGATTTCTAGACCCAGCTTTCTCACTGATGGTGAGGTTGGGTACCCTTGTCTGCTCTTGGAACCTATTTTGCCATCTTTAAAATCCAGGGTTTTCAGGGAGTCTCTGCAGATTCTTGCTGAGCTGGTAGTTCTGAGGTGGTCTGCCTTCCCCATAGCTTACCTGGCTGGGCAAGCACCTGAGTGCTGAGGGCGGCAGCTGTGAGCAGCAGGCACAGGAGGGCTGCAGCGGAGACCTTCATGCTGGAAGGGGAGGATGGCAACTACAGCCTCTGCAGTTGGTCTCAGAGTCGCTGCAAATCTGGAGGCTCTGTATGCCTTTTAAAGACAGAAGACAGATTGGGAGCTTCCAAGGAAGCCTTTGATTAGGCAAGGTCATGGTCAAATCAGGATGAGGGAAGTTGCTAACCATGTTTCAAATCCTGGCGTATTCACAGGCCCTAAGAGGATGAAATTGGTGGGAGGGGACTTGGCGCACTTCTCATCACGCTGGCTCTGGAAGTGAAGTGGGTGGGGAAGGAAGGGTATGCAGTTGTGAAATGACCATGCAAGGATGACAGTTTGGGAGGGTCCTTCTCAAAAAACAATGCTTTCTCTCACATAAAACATCTTTGGTGGGGAAAAGAAGTGAGAAAACCAAGAGCCTGAAGAGTTGAGGAGACTTCCTGGTGATCTTTAGGAGGCCAGGAAAGGACCCTAATAGTTCCACTGGGCTCTCACCCCACCCAGACATGGAGAGATCTCAGCAGCTCTGGACATTGCCAGGCATTAAGACTCCAGGAATGACAGCACATGAGAGCCTCACCTCACATTTCAGTCCAATGAATACAGTCCAGTCCCAGAATCTTGAGAACCATAGGAACTTAAACTGGATAGTTCTGTTCATCTTGACTTCCTGTGCACTTTCCTAGCTTTACTGGGGAGTGAGTGACAAGTAAATATTGTGTGTGTATATACATTTTGTACACATAAAATGATGACCACCATCAAATGGATGTGCACAATCAAATGTCCATCCTCCACCTCATACAGTAAAATTTTTGTTTTTTGGTGTAGTGAGAACACTTAAGACTTATTCTCTTAGTAAATTAAAAGTATATAATGTAGTATTATTATTAACTATAATCACCATGCTCTGCATTAGACCCACAGAACGTATTTACCCTATCACTAAAAGTTTGTGCTCTTTGACCAACATCTCCCCAGAATGGCAAATGTAAACTACAATATGACATAACTCACACCTGCTAGCATGATTAATATTAGAAAGGGGAGTGATAGCAAGTATTGGTGAGGATGTGGAGAAAAGAGAATTTCTGTATGCTGCTGGTGCGGTTGTAAATTGTATTCATTGGACTGAAATGTGAGGTGAGGCTCTCATGTGCTGTCATTCCTGGAGTTTCAGTGCCTGGCAATGTCCAGAGCTGCTGAGATCTCTCCATGTCTGGGTGGGGTGAGAGCCCAGTGGAACTATTAGGGTCCTTTCCTGGCCTCCTGAAGATCACCAGGAAATCTCCTCAACTCTTCAGTCAATTGGTTCAGTCACTTGGGAAACAGTACAGAGATCTTATGGCATTTTAAAAGTATTTTCAGGCCCCCCCCTGGTGGTGCAAGGGGTTAAGTCTCAACACTATGAAGCTATTGCCAGCCACTGCAGCACGAATTTCATCCCCAGCAAGGAGCTGACCTGCATGGCACAGCAGACCTCTCCTGTCTCATCCACTGCTAATCTCAGCAATGTATTTCAATAAATCTGGCTGTTCTGCTCTCCATTCTGTCTCTGGTAACTTAGTCTTAGTCTCCACACCTTTGGCCTACACCCCAGTTCTGGTAGGCATAAATAAGTAAATCTTAAAAAACAAAAAACAAAAGTATTTTGTATTTTGTTTCCTGATGAAGTCTTTCCTCAGATGAATCAAATAACAAATGCTTAACCATCAGATATACTATAGTGGAATGGGCCTGTTTGAAGAAGATGAGATGAACATTTTATGCTTTCACACCATGAAAATTCAAGAACACATTTGGAAAACTGGAGATGACATTGAGCCCAACCCCTTGAATTTAGTGGTAGATAAGGTGTTGGATAAGTAAAATTATCAAAAAGAAAGAGGAGACAAGATCCCACGGGTATCTCCTCTATTTACGACACTATGATCTCTGGGAGGAGAGGGTGCAGGGGAGACTTCTTGCTGGGGTCTTTTATAAAGTCCTTGTTAAAAGTTGTTAATGGGGCCCTCCCTGGTGGCCAGTGGGTTAAAGCACAGCACTAAAAAGCTAAAGCCACTTCCGCATGAGTTCAATCCCCACCTGCCCTGGAGGTGACCCACATGGTACGGCAGACCTCTCCTGACCCACCTACTGCTCCCCTCAGCAGTGTGTTTTAGTAGATCTGCCTGTCCTGTCTCTGGTGAATCCTCTCATCTCTCGCATCTCTGGCCTGTACCTCAATTCTGGATGCATAAATAAATAAATCTTTAAAAAATAACAAATAAACATGTAAGGTGCTCAGAAGAGAAAGTAGATCACTGTAGATGCTCACAAAATAGTCTATATTTGTTACAATTAAGAAATGGGCAGATTTTACAGACCAGGGAATGATGCTGACAAATGATGACTTTTTCCTTATCTCATCTCACACTTCCAAGTAAAGACATATTACCCAAGGAATGGTTTCCAGGAATATTTGAGCTAACCATCTAACAGAAATGAGGTCTCAAAAGTTGTGTCTGTAGCACAAGCTTGTCAAATTCTTGACCTTAATGACATTTGGGTAAGTGATTGTGTTCCTTAGTAAGAATAATTTCATCATTCATTGGTTGTTTAGAGGATTCAATTAATAAATTCCTTTTCATTTCCCCCCCAAATTCTTGCAGTGTTTTAGAATAATCAAGGCCAGCAAAACCACAGTAAAATAAACTAAATCTTTACACACCCCATGTAGCAGCTGTTCTCTCCAGCTCGCTGTCTGGCTCACTGTCAAGAGGAGGGGGCGACAACATTCTCAGGGTGCTGTGCTCTCTCCTCCATGATGGCTTCTCACTCAGTGACAGGGCTGGGGTCACTGTTGCCAAGAATTCGGTCAGGAGCAACTCACAAACGCCAAGTTACCCAGAGGAAATAGGTTCCCTACAGCAAAACCAAAACCTTAGCTCCCTAAGCTGAGTGATAAGTAAAAACAGATCCCAAGAATCAAGACGCCTGATTTTGTTTTGCAGCTTTGCTCTGGAGTCATTCTAGTATTATAAACTATACGCAGAGTTGAAAGAGACGTTGATATTCATTCCAATCCTCTCTTTAAAAAAAAAAAAAAAAAAACCATGAATAGAGAACCAAGAGTTCAGGACCAATAGCAAAATCCCTAAGGCAATGCCACGTTTTTTACACTGAATTGACTCTAAATCCTCAGCCTCTTAACTCAAATCATTTGAAAACTTTATTGATTAATCCTTGTTGACTATGGGCTCTGTTTCCCTTGGGGAAAAAGAGGACCCATCAGGTAGGTTACCTCTTTCTCAAGTGTGGCAGAGACCATGACTGCATTTTTTAACTGCCTTTGAAGGAAAGCAATTAACGTTAGCATGAATGTTCTAGCAACGTGCCTAACAAAGGCAGGTTCTCAATGGTCACACCAAGCCCTAGAGTGCCCGCTGTCACTGTGGTTTTATTTCACGAGGGTTAATGTGTTTAATCTTCATAAAAGACCTATGAAATACATCCTCTAAGTCCATTTCTTTTGAAGAATTTTTTTTTTATTTATGCATACAAAACTGGAGTACAGGCCAAAGGTGCAGGGTTCATGAGAGGATTCACCAGAGACAGAGTGGGGAGCAGAACAGGCAAACTGATAGAGTACACAGCTAAGGGGAACAGCAGGAAGGTCAGGAGAGGTCTGCTGTTCCATGTGGATCACCCCCCTGGCCAGGGATCAAATTCATGCTGAAGCTGCGGTTAGGTTCACAGTGATGCACTTTAACCCAATGAAACTCCAAGGAGAGCCTTAAGCAAATCCATTTTAAAAAGGCACAAACATAGGCTTAGAGAAGTTAAATGACTTCCTTTTCCATGAAATTGCTTCTTAGAGTCATCCTGAAAAAAAATTCTTTTTATTTCAAATACACTCACTATTACATTATCTCATAGACTCCCTTGGGAAGTGATAAATGTTACTCTTTTGCACATGACCAGTCAGTTATGGTGCTACTAACCAGGGATTTGATAACACCAAACAAATAAACTCAGTGATTCACTGCAACAGATGATTACTTTTTGTTTATGTACCAAAGCTTAATGTTGCTCAGGCAGCTTGGAGGACCTACTCTTTTTGAGCAGTGACTCAGAGAGCCAGGCTTCTTTTAATTAACAGCCAGCATCTGGAATATGTAGCCCCCAAGTTAAGTGAAACAAGGGGAGAAAGGGCTGGCAGATTGTATAGAAAATTTTGAAGAACTGGGCTTGGGAACCACTTGTAACCTATACATCCCATTGGCCTTAATTCTCCCTCCTAGTCTAGTCTAACGACAGAGAAGGATGAATGATGAGAAATGACGAGGAGCACGGGAATCATTGGAAAGGGCTAATACTTTATCAGTCTGCTGTTGCTCACTTCATTCCAAGAGAATGAAGTGAAAATCCCTGTAGTCACTGCTTTGTCTGGGATGTTCAGGGTGTTTGAATGGCAGGTGGTCTTGTCTGTCAAGTGAGGACGTAGAAGCTACTTGCTCCAGGGACTTGTGAACTGAAAAGATGAGTTTTGGCCTGAACCCTCTATGATGCAGTGAAATAGGACAAGTCTCTCTTCCTACCCCATCAGATAAGCATTCTCATCTATTCATTTAACAAGTGTGTCTTCTTCTTGAATTCTAGGAAGGAAAAAGAAGGACATCCCTATAAGGAAAATAAGGAAGTTAAACATCAGGTGTTAACAAAGCAAGATGGCGCCCTCCCTAAATCTGAATGTGCCTGCCTCAAAAGGACATGCGACCCCTGCCCACCACCCTATTTTTTTTTTTTTTTTAACTACTGTGTGTAAGTCCCCCTGCCCTCTGCCAATGAGCTGGATCGTCGTCCTTCAGACACCAGTCTGCTGCCCTTCTCAGTGTGTTGACAAACTAAACTACTTTCTTTCTCCCCAGTCTCTGCTTCCTTGTATTAGCTGAGGGAAACTGAGGCTGGTGCTCAGTAACAATTTACCAAGACAGGACACTTGCAGACACTTGCAGTCAACAGGGAGGTGATGCTC